TCCCTCCCTCCCTTCCTCCCTCCCTCCCTCCCTCTCTCCCTCCCTCTCTCCCTTCCTAGATCTACACACTTCTGGGAACAGGCAGCAGGAAAAAGTCTTTGAAGATGCATGCCCCCAGCACAGTGGCACCTTGGGGAGTACCTTCCTCCTTTTTGTGGCTTGGACAACAGAGACAACAGGCAGGGTACCTGGAAAGGTAAGCAAAATCACAGTGGTAGTTACCGTACAATTTGTGAGTCCAAGGTGGTGTCTTTTTAGGGACTTACAGAAAGATGTGGTGGAGGAGGGGCCAGAGTCCAGCAACTCACCTTCCTCCAGAGCAATGTGGGAGCTTGCACTCATTGTCACTGAGGGTGGGGCGTCTACCAATTCAGTTAAGTAACTTTGAAAGCTTTTTTTTTCTTTAAGCTCCAGATATATTTGTACTAGAATTGATACCAACAGATGTTTCAAACCCAATGAAGCAGTGCATTGAGACTGACTTCTAAGGTCAACAATGACTTCTTCACTGCAAGTATGCTCACGTGCCATCTGGAAGGTTTGGAGAGCAGTGTCACAGCAGGGTGGCCACTGTCCCCAACAGATTGTCACCATCCCAGTTCCCCCATGCCCTCAAGTTTACCACCCAACCCAGGCAGCGGCCTTCTGATTTACTGAACGGCTGGTGCAGACTTTAGAGCATCATATAAATGAACTCTTTGGCAACGGGCTTCTTGAAAAGATTGAACGTTTTAGATACACCCATGGCACACTGATCATCAGTAGCCTGTTTTCTTGATGCGTTTATTCTTTTGATATTCCACCCAATGGAGGAATTCAGCTTATTTGTTTTGCCATTGGTAGACTTGGGGCTGTATTTCCATTTTCTCTCACTTTAAACTGATTTTAAGGTATCCTGGAGCCATGGTTGCTGATGATGGAAACCCTTTGCCCAACTCCGCTTCTCTTTGTTTTATTTACATCTTGAGATTTCTATGAAATGGAACTCAGTGCTACAGTGGCGTTCCAGCAGCTGGGGTCTCCTTGTTGGAAAGAGATGAGCGGCTTTTCACGGGGTGAAATCTTGTTTGGTGCAGCGTCCCTGGTAGGGAGGAGCAGCTAAAGTAAGTCAGAATCCAGGGAACACAGCTGGCACAGCTGTCTGATGGCGGACTGCCAAATCCTCCTTTCAAGATACGCCACTTGAGCAGGCTCTGGCGAGTAACTCTGCTCCTGGAACAATGGTCTTCTGTAATGTAACCGATCAGAGTATGACCTGGTCTCTCACTGCCTGCCATGATCACAACTGATGAATCAGCCGGAGGTTGAGTGGGCACCTCAGCGGGAGATTAGGTCAGGCACATACAAAAGGCCCAAACAAAACCAGCTTCAGTGGCTCCCCCTTACCTGGTAAGTGGAGAGTCGGTGCTGGAGCTCCCATAGGAAGACGGTGAGAGGGGACACAGCCATCGACTGGTCCCTCACAGAGAGCAGGGGACAGTCAGAAATGCAGTTAGATGTTTAAAGTGAGTCCTCCAGGCCCTCTCTTGACCCTCCGACTTATTGCACCAGTATGCTGTAGGGCTGCACCCACCAACCAGGTCCTCTGGAGAGACAGGAGTAACTACCTACAGTACCCCAAAGTCCCACTCTCCTCCTTATGACATCATCTAGTTTCACAGGAAGTTTTGGGCTGCTCGC